AGAGGGAAGGGTAGGTGGTGAAGGCCAGGTCGGGGTCGAGTTCCCAGCTTGAGGAATGAGATGCCGGTCATCATATTCATCAAACATTTTCTCAGATATACTAAAATATATTTATTTTCTCAGATATACTAAAATATATTCATTTTCTCAGATATCCTAAAATATATTTATTTTCTCAGATGTACTGAACTGAAGAATATTCATTTTCTCAGATATCCTATAATATATTTATTTTCTCAGATATACTGAACTGAAGTATATTCCTTTTCTCACATATACTGAAATATATTTATTTTCTCAGATATACTGAACTGAAGTATGTTCATTTTCTCACACATACTGAAATATATTTATTTTCTCAGATATACTGAACTGAAATATATTTATTTTCTCACATATACTGAAATATATTCATTTTCTCACATATACTGAAATAATTCCATTTTCTCAGATATACTGAAATAATTTCATTTTCTTAGGCATACTGAAATATATTCATTTTCTCAGATATACTGGAATATATTCATTTTCTCAGATATACTGAAATATATACATTTTCTCAGGCATACTGAAATATATTCATTTTCTCAGGCATACTAAAATATATTCATTTTCTCGGATACAAAGAATTTCAAAAATAATGAATGAAAATCTATTTTCAGTTGATGATTAACGTTTATTTTATCGAAATTAATTTTGATAACCTTTAATTTAAGTAAATTCATAAAAATAATAAATTTGTTAATGTCTATATTTAGATTATGATCTTGTAGATTTGTGTATCAGGTTTAGTGCAGGTAAAAGTGTTCGATTAATTTTTATATCTTACTTTTTAAACACTTGTCAGTACTGAAAAAAAGATATAGCCAAGAATATGGGAATAGATTGAGAAAAACAAAAAAACTTTTATTTTTTTATAGAAAATGCCTGATAAACATAATTTTTTTTTTAAAGAACCAATCGCTAGTTTACCTTATATTTATCAAGCGCAGAATCCCTTCTTCATTTGAAACGGAAACTGACAAATCAACATTTTTAGTTGCAGCATCCCCCCGGCGCGGAGACATAGGTTCCAGTAAATGCGGGAAATGCTGACTTCTAATTCCAGCGGAGGGTTTGTGTACACTTGTAAACACGTTCACGCATTCACAGCAGTATTTTCGGAACCGTCTAGACAAACATAATTAGAATACAGTATTTCTATTTTCAAATGACTCTTCATGCAAAGATGGCAATGCCCGATATGAAACAGCACCCTCGAAAATTTTGTCTGATTAAGTATAATTTAAATCTTCATGTTGTCGTTCCTTTAAATTGCTTATCTCTTTTGAGGCTTAACTGTTAAATTGGCTTTCGTATTTCTTGCTTTAATGAGGCAGTGGAGAAATTATCAGAATTAAACACTTTTCCAGTCAGAAAGAACAAAGGTATCTCTAACATTTTTGATCAGATTAAGGTTTCCGAGGTACCCTTGTGAATCGGTCATTGCCATCTTTGCATGGAAGGTTCCTTGAAAGTACGCTTACTGTCTAATATCAATGTAATAAGAGCAATGATTAATGATGGTTTACCGTAATGTAGTGATGTCCACGTTTTTGGTCACGTTATGATTCAGCTCAAACGGATCCTGTAATGGGCAAAAATAAAAGTAAAAATAGGCTTTGAACTTTAAACCATACATAATGTTGGTGAAATGGGGCTGAAAAAGGAAAATTTCATGAATTTTTTGTATGCGTTTTCCTATCAAAATATAATAATATTCTTTCAAAATATGATTTAACTAAATCTGAATTTAGCATTAATCAATTAAAATCTCTTTCATTAGAGTCGGTGTTTTCATATTTAAAGGGACTGTAAGCGTAATTTCAAGTGACCTTCAATGCAAAATGGCAATACCAGAATTACAACGGTACATTTAAAACATTTGTTTGTTTGTCGAGTACGGAGATATGTGTGTGTAAACTTCTCAAAACCTGTTTGTATTCAGCTGAAAATACAAGTGTGTGCTGTGTACAGTCTGAACTTGAATGTTCAGCTGACTAATACACATATCTATGTACTTGACGAACAAACAATGGGTTTAAGGGAGCCGTTGTAAATCGGGCTTTGTGGAGTATCACATACAATTACGCCTACAGTTTTTATTTGTAGTAAATGGCTAAAATTAAAACATTTTCATGAGTAAAGAGTAAGAACTAAAAAATCAACTAACTGATATGGATGTTAATTATTAATATAACGTTTACAAGTCAACAAATAATAGGGTTTGTTCTTTATTTTCTTTAATATTGATATAATCAACAAAAATTTTGTTCACAAAAAATACCTGTACACGGTACATAATACCTGAACACAAATAGGGTTTCCTATCTGGAGTCCTCGCTTGTACACAGTATTCTGATCAAAACACCATCTAAATAGAAAATATTAAGAATAAGCTTCTAATCACCTCTTTTTGTGATGTTTTAAAATAAAAGTAAACAATAACCGAAATCAAACTACAAGACATAAAATTAAAATTCATGATAAACAAGAAGAAAAACACAAACTGTCGATAAAAGTGATAACAAGTGACTGCAGACATGTTGGCAAATAATTAAAAATGCAGAAATTGAAAAACCTTGAAAATTCTTGTTTAAACATAAAAAAATCTATTTTGATTTTCTGATAGTTTTTATTTTATTTGATTAATAACTTTATTTTATTATTTTTCAGCATATATTTGTACAATTTTCTTTTGTTTTTCATACATTTATCTTTCGTTTTGTTTTATAACACTGACTATTTTTAACAAGTCATTTTAAACTTATTTCCAAATTTTCTTAAGATGTTGTTGTATTCAACCCAAAATATCATTGCAAAAATGACTTAGTTGTTACCATCTCAAATGATAAAAAACAATAACAATAACAATAACACTCATACAATCCTAACCAAGAAAAGGGAGATAGTTGGATTGTAGTAAGTACAATCATGAAATCCCTACATCATGTCTTATAACAAAAATATCTAAATAATAAAGATCTCTGCTCATATATATATATATATCAAATCAAATCAAATCAAATATATATATTTGTCCCAAGCCAAAAACATAGAAAATATCATATTTTAAAACATATTTATAAACTTGAGACGGGGAGGCATTGATAGCCAGGGGCTGTTTAACACGCAGCCTCCCACTGGAGAGTCAGTTTTTGCAATGATGCTGACTTGAAGAAGAGGTGCTGCTGGATGTCATGCTGCTCATGGGATGGAGGGAGCTGGAGCCACTGGAGAGGATACTGTTCATAAACGTACATATATATAATCTTATATGTTAGCTGATGACCAAACGGCTAGACCAAATGGGCAGAATTTTCATAAGGAAACCCATGGGTATCCTAGGGAACATAGGCTAAAAAATTCGAAATATATATTTATTCAAAATAAATAAAATAAAACTTTTACGGGCGTAAACAATTTTTTTTAAATATGAAAAAAAACTGTAAAAAAGAATATTTAAAATTAATAAAACGTTTACACAAGAAAGGATTATTTTTTACTATTCAAATACTGTTTTTATCATCACTCTATTCAATTCTGTTCTATAAAAATAAAACTTTTTAGCTAAATTTAATTATAAATTTATTCTTCAGATTCATTTTAACTATTCATGCTTCGCTCCCATGAGACTAAACATTCAACTTCAAAACATTTTTTTCAAATTTAAATATAAATTTCTTCAGTTTCAAAAAAGTTAATTTTTCAGAATGGCATCAATTAACAATTTATCAGTTTTTTTTAAATATTTTATTTAAGCTTTTAATAGGCCCTGCAGAAATTTGAATTTATGCGCCCTGGAAGCCTAGAACTTAAAAACTTTTCAAGAGACAAAAATATAATTATGATTAAGAAACCAAAATAATATTGTTCGGTTTTAGAACTCCTTAGAAAGTTAATAATATGCTTATATTTGTAAGATTTCCTAGTATTATTCATATATATTCATAATAAATCTGTTGTTATTTGGAAATATAATAATTGATTTCATCAACTTAACATGAAACTCTGATAAATATCTTTTTAAATATTCTTTTTATGATTGATAACACTTGTTTAGATTAGAGTTAAAATATATATTAATTTCTTTTGAAGAAAATCAATGAAAACTGTCAGATAAAAAGTTTTTTTTTACCTTTCTTTAAAAAGTTAATACTAAACTAGTTTTGAAAATCAATATAAATATTAAACATATCTTTGTTTCTTCTTAAAAATAATGAATGATTTTTTTTGAAAAATCTTTAAAACTGTTTTAAATGGGTTAAAATTTATGGGGGGAGGGGGGAAGGGCTATTGGACATCAAGTGGAAAGCCCCCCCCCCTTTAAACACCTTATATCAAAAAATTCTTTTAATTTTCTCATAAAAATCATTGATTTACCAAGTTCTAAAATCTGACAAGTGGAAGTGGGTCAAAACAAAGATTTAGTTTGTTACAGGAAAAAGAGTCATTCAGGCAATGTGCCTGAGGACTCAGGCAGTTAGTATTAAAGCCCGGTTTTATGCCTAAAGGGATGGCTTTGGGTATGTAGGAAAAGTCAGAAAATTTCAACAGCTTCAGACCAATACTTTTTGAGTTATGTAAAAAAAAACTACAGGAACAGGGTTAAAAGAGTTACGTTGAAGGAAAAACAATTGTGTTGATGGACCAAATAATTGTTTCCTTAATACATCACAAAATTTACTTTATTGTAATTGTATTGTTTGTAACTATGTAGTGGAAAGTACAACTGCACTGATTTTTAACCTTTGTCATTATATTAAATAAAAATAAGAAAAGGATTTAAATTAGAAACGTTGCCAGAAAAAGAAAGGATGCTTGATGATTGATGAATTTAGTGAAAAATGTTCTGTTAATACATTTCTTCCGAAGTTTTTATTATAATTTACTGTTTTATTATTCAAATATTGAATTTAAAGTAACCAGAGTACGAATTTAATCATTTTGAGCCGCGTCTTAAATCCGTCAAAACCAATTTCAATTGAGCGCCGGCTTAAATCTTGAATACAATTTTAAGTGGAACCAACCAAATTTGTGCCGCAGCTTAAATTTAAGCTGTGGGTCAAATTCTTTAAATTCGGCCTCTGTCTGTATCCTTTAACTTACAAATTTTCAACTTACGTTTATTTTTTACGTATCAAATCAAATCAACTCTTTATTTGAGAAATTCTACTCCAATTACTTTGAAACGAGATTAGAATGGATTTAACCGGCAATGAAATAAAATAGTTAATTGAAGTTTAAAAACTAAAAAAAATATTAAATAATTTATTTTTCACATTGAAGTAAAAAATTCAGCTATAAAAACATAAATATATTTTTATTAGTGGAAGATAAAAAAAATAATATTTGATGTCATTATTCAGAATGAAGTTAGATTTTCTTCTGAACTAATGGCAAAGAAACGAAAACAGGATTAGTAGGATAGGATGGGGCATAATTTGATTCTTTACAGGGAGGCTTGGCATTTAATACCATTGGCCCCCCTTCTGTTTACGTCTCTAAATGACATTATCTTTTGATAACCATTTTAAATGTTTTAAATTTACCTTAAATGATTCATGGGTTATCTCTGTGCCAAAGAACGGGCAGATTATGAACTCATAATAGAACGTACTGAGAATTATCATCATCATAATCAATTAAAGTCATAACTAAGGTTTAGGCTTAAACTTCATTTTACAAGTTATTCAGCATTTTACATATTTGTCTTTAATGCACATTCAAATTAAATTTTTATAATTCCAGTTTCCAAATCCATGAATCCGTGAATCCATGAATCCATGATAATGTATCCATGAATCCATGAATCTATGAATGAATGAATGATAATAAATCCATGAATCCAGGGATCTATGAATCTATGAATCCATGAATCCAGGGATCAATGAAGTAACCCATAAATGATAATGATAAAACCTTCCTGTAAAATTCAAAGAACCCAGTTAGCAGTTGTTCTAGACTCATCAGATTCTGAAACAATTTACAATCAAAACTTTTAATCAGCATTATTTACTTTAAAGAGTACTGTTGTGCATCGGACATGTCACTTAAAGTTTACAGCGGACTAGATTACCTTGAAACAGAATGTTAATAAAAACTAGAAAATAAATGTAAATTATTTGACTTAGTTAAAACATTTGTTTGTTTTGTTTTTTGAAGTATCTGCACCATGTTTTATTAATCTATATATGTTTGTAAAAATAAATCTCGATAATAATAAAATGAATGGTTCCTTAAAATAATACCTGCAGTCCCTTTAATCCAAGCATTAGACATTCATTTTTAAATTGTTTACATAATTTAAAATATTAAGTAATTAGATGTCAGGAAATTTCAAAATTTATTTTGAACTGTATACAGATATTCGGATCGGTTCTTTTATGTTTGCTGAAGAAATTTGGTTATTTCCCATTTATGTTAAATATTTTATCCTCAGAGTGTTCAAGTGTTTTTAAATAAATCTAAGCTAGCAGATTGGATCCAAAATATTATAATTGCCCGATTAAAAATTAAAAAACTGGCATCATTGCAATCTGAACAAATCTTAAACTCAGATAAGTTGGGCTACATGAATTGACTTTTTCTGATTTAAAAGTTTTTGGTTCAAGACATTTCTTTGAAGGAATGTCCCTATTCTGACCTTGTTAACAGAAACGATATTCTCAAATGAAAATGAGAATATCCAGCCATTTATGTTAAACTCCGGATCCATACCATCCAACTCCAATATCTCAGCTACAGGAGGTAGGATAGGGTTCTCTGAACATATTAGTATGATACCACATTCGCATTATATTAGATATCCGCAATATTTCTTGATTTTGTAACAGCTGATCTATTTATTTATCAATTTTCCGTGTAATAATCAAAATTATTCCACGGTTTTTCTTTTAATTTTACAACCTTAATTTTGATTATTACACTTTTTTTGTAAGAACAATATTATATTGTTATTATTTTCATCATTTAAAAAAAACAATCCATAGTTTAAGGCTCCCAGCGATCAATATGTATCTATTCACGAAGAAGTTCGCAATGTCCTAGGGAGAGAACAGTTTTAGGCATGACCAGACAAAACAGACCAATATTTAATGAATAAATACATTTAGAAAAGAACTGCTTTAAATCAAATTGCATTCCCTTTAGGTTCAGGGGCTTGGAACACGGCTTACAGTTCACGTACAATGTCCATTGTCCATATACCAATTTTTACAAAAGTTCATTTTTAACCTTTTCAATGCTGTACTCCGATATAAAAATTGCTGAGATTTTTAGAATTCAGATCCTTGAATTCATCATGTTAATACTATTGGCCTACCTAGCTGTTGCAAGTAGAATATTAGCATAAGTGTGACTGCGTAGCTTGTAAACCTATTACAGTTTATTCTATCTCCACCCCCTCCTGTCAAACCTTTAGAAATCATCAGTCATAATAAATAATAAACTAGTGCTAATAATAACGCTAATGCAACTGATACTAAAAACTTGATTCTGATACACTAATATACAGATACAGATACAGATCCTGATCCTAATATTAATATATGTAAATATTATGATAATAATAATGATAATAATGATAATCTCAATTACGTGATTATATGTAAAAATACGAAAATGTTGTATCTATTTTGATTTTATGAGTGAATGTATGTTTAAGTTCTGTCAAAAATAATAAAGATTTTTTTTTAATCTTCTTACCCTGGTGTTTCAGAAGGAATTTGATAGTTGTGAAGAGGGACTGAAACCTGAACAAAAGTCAACTTAAAAACAGGGAATTCAGAAAATTCCTTCAGATACATTTATGTTAACAGTACCCTTTCATCCATGTTAACACAGGCCCTGTTACCTTAACTCCATATTAACACAAGCCTAATTACCTTTTATCCATGTTAACACAAGCCTAGTTACCTTTCATCCTTGTTAACATAAACCTAGTTACCTAAACTTCATATTAACACAAGCCTAATTACCTTTCATCCATGTTAACACAAGCTTAATTACCTTTCATCCAAGTTAAAACAAACCTAGTTACCTTTCATCCATGTTAACACAAGCTTCATTACCTTTCATCCATGTTAAAACAAGCCTACTTACCCTTCATCCATTTTAACACAAGCCTAGTTACCTTTCCTCCATGGTAACACAAGTCTGTTTACCTTTCATCCATGCAAACATAAACCTAATTACCTTTCATCCATGTTAACACATGCCTAGTTACCTTTCAACCATGTTAACACAAGCCTAGTAACCTTTCATCCATGTAATTGTTAACACAAGCTTAATTACCTTTCATCCATGGATGCTAACACAAGCCTAGTTACCATACATCCATGTTAACACAAGCCTAGTTACCTTACATTTATGTTAACACAAGCCTAGTTACCTTTCATCCATGTTAACACAAACCTAGTTACCTTTCATCCATTTTATCACAAGCCAAGTTACCTTTCATCCATGTTAACACACGCCTAGTTACCTTTCATCCATGTTATCACAAACCTAGTCACCTTTCATCCATGTTATAACAAACCTAGTTACCTCTCATCCATGTTATCACAAGCCTAGTTACCTTTCATCCATGTTAACACAAGCCTAGTTACCTTTCATCCATGTTAATATAAGCCTAGTTACCTTTCATCCATGTTAACACAAGATTTGATGAACTGACTATTGAACACCCCCATCTTGTTCTTAAACGAAAGATCACAGGAAAGACCAGTTGGCAGATGGTGGAATTTTATGACAGGCACCCTGTAATATTACTTACATTTCAAATCGAGCAAAGTAAAAGAAAAAAAATGGTTTTACATCTGAAAATCTATATCTTCTTCTATCTGAAACTTGATAAAAAAGGGGTTTCTATAATATAACTAGATTTATGCTGAAAAAAACATTGACCGAAATAATCTCTTAACAAAAAAAAAAAAAAAAAAAAATAAAGGTCTAAAGGGTTCCTTTATGAATCAGCATTTAACTAATTAGAAGAAGGGTTGATTTACCAAACCCCAAATCAATAAGAACTGAAGCGGTGAGAAAAATCTTACTTTGCGTTAGGAACTGGTTGAACGTGAGCACACTGACTATTAGAGCGGAGTATTTCTTCAAGTATCTCAAACTTCCGTTTCCGGTTTAACCGTGATCTGTCCAGATTCAGCTGCTCCTCGAGGTCTAAATTTTTTTTTGGCCATATTGTCTTCCCGATTCATCCCACTGTCATCTTTAACTTTGCTTTTCTGTTTGTTTGTATCCAATTAACGTTACAACGGCTGAACCGGCGGGACCCAAATTTTGTGTGTGACCTAGAAAAATTTGTATTTATAAGTTTTTTATTTTTGTAAAAGTTTAAAAGTCCACAAAAAAATATTATAAAATCCGCGAACTTTTTTGTTTTGTGTTCACAAGGAGAAAATGCTCATAGATAAAGCAACAATTAGAAGTTGAAATTGAAGATGCCTAGTATATTAAAATTTACTTTACTAGACTGTTGGAACTATTTCAATTTTTAAATACGGTTCTATCTGTGAGCATCTCCTCTTTGTACCATATAAAAAAATAAGAAAAGAAAAGTTCGCGGACTTTTAAATATTTTTTCGGAGATTTAATTTTTTTTTTAAAAATTCAAATTTTTGGAGACAACTTTTTGTAATTCCAAGCATCAATAAATGTTCCCTGAGGTCATGTGAGGTCCCACACAAATTTGTTGAGGTGTATACTGTAATGAAAATAATTGAAGTTCTACGGAACGATTGACTGGAATTATCATACTTAAAAAAAAATATTTAAGCGAACAAGATACTTAAGTGGATTCTTTTTTTCAGGAATCCATTATCGTTAAAACAAACCTGAAATCTGGTACAACGTAAATTAATTTAACCATATTTTCAAACAGAATCATTTCCAACAAATCTTTAAAAATCAAGGATTTTTATTGTGGGCTGTAGAATAGAATATTTTTTTTTAATAAGTAACAATATTGCAAGGTACTAGGCTTTCAGGGCGTTTCGCGCCCATCCTCTATTTCAAATTATAATTGTTGGTTTCTCTGTAAACATTTTCTCTTGGTATACGTTATAAAACAAAAACAAAAAGTTCGCAGATTTCAATATATTTTTCCGTGGATTAACAAAATGTTATGAAAATCGGTTTAGCCTTTTTGACGTTTGTAATTGTACGATACAATCAAACAAACAAACAAACTATAAAATATTTAAACAGACAAAGTATAATAAAAGATAAAGCTTATATTTTGGAGGAGGGGTTATTTATTAAAGTAAACATTATTAAGACTGAAAATGAATTAGTCGTTTTCTAAATAAAAGGTTTTAATGGTCTAGTGGTTTAGAGAGAACAAGTAAAATATTCCCGCTGTTTATTTCTTCATAAAAACAAGTTTGAAACACTTTTTTAAATTTTCAATCTCATTGATATAAAGATTAAAGGGGCACTCAAAATAAATTGACAATATTCCAAGAGTTAAAATTATTAAAATGATAAGTTGATTTTTCACCTAAATGAATATCGACATCACTCTCCTTCGTTCCTAAAATTGTATTCAAATTTGTTCATTGATTTTATCATGAAATTCAAATTTTTGAAGTATTAATACTTGTCAGACATACGTGAATGTTAAATGTTTTATTAGCGAATCTAATCTATTTGTTTACCAAGTCCATTCACAGAGGAACCAAAACAGTAAGCTCCGCATCCAGGAAACTGAACCTCTAACGCCTAAAAGGGAGTGTTCATGAAAAAGTGGTATATGCCGATTCTCTGACCAAACAATAGACCATGATCAAATTTGTATTTGAATCCGATGTCTATTGCGAGTATTTGTAAGAGTATGGGGAAAATATCAAAACTTTTTTAGTTATTCAAAAATAAAAAAGATAAATCATCAAAACATGCTGATTTGATTATTGTAAAAGATTCTTTAACAGCTTAAGAATGTTGATTAGATATTTTTTTTCCATCCCCAGTTATTTGTTGTTAAGATGTTATTTTCATTGTCATCATTTATAGCTTTAAAAGTTTTTAACTTTTTTGAATTAAGTTTTTCAAAACGGATATTTAATATTTATACATCCATGACTTACTTCAAATAATTTTTTGTTGCAGTAGTGAAATAATTTACACAAAAATAGAACATCACGTGAATGAAGATATTTGTAATTTTTTTTAACTTTTAAACAAATTTTATGAAGATTTTCCCACTTCTTAACAAAGAATAACATTTAAATTTACATCAAAATCTACCTTTTTCGGATTTTAAAAACTGCAATAACAATTTATAACATTATTATTTTGGTTCGCAGTGCTATAACGTTTTTGAACAGAAATTTTCTATATCAAGAAGATTCAAGCCTTTTCGGATTATATTTTGTCCCGAGCTTTAATGAGGGGAAAATAGTGTTATAGATAAATTTATGAAACGTTTATGTACTTGTTATATTGCAATGACTATTTCTAGATAAATAAGCTTTAAAAGAAAGCAGAAATAAACACATAATTTTAAATTTTATTTTCATTTATATTGAACAAATTATTTTGCAAGTATCCTAAATTTTTCTTGAGAAAATCTGGGAACCAATTAAAACTTTATGGCACACTTGCTATAATCTACAGCTAATTTAATTTTATATCACGTTCATAAAAAAATTCAACATGAAGTGAGTAAAAATAGTTTCATAAATCCATTAAGTTTTGTAACACATACTTTCGAGTTCATAAATTAGATCTAATTAATGTTATCGGGGTTGTAAAACCGCAGAAAATACCTAATTAATTTTATTGCATCCCCAGAGATGCAATCTAACAGACCCTGGTTTCAGAGTTACAATGTAAATATCAGGGATTCAATAGGACTAGATCAATGTTCACACTACACAAAAAGAGTACAAGCATAATTGTGTACTTTGCTATGGACAGTGAATGCTCCGTACTTTTATTAATTAAAATTAACAAGCTGTTTGAATAAAAAAGGGCCGGGAGGGCGGGCGTGGGGTCGGGGTTGAAATAATTAAATTTACAGAGATTCATGATTAAAGTTAGTAAAAAAAAACATTTGAATCTAAACTAAACCGATACTGGTGAAAACTGATATTATTTTCAATGAAACTAATTGATTGAAAATGTCTTAAACAACGCATCAGCAAAGCAATATAGATATAAAATAGATAATATATATTGAAATAGACTTCAATACAAGATTCATAAAAAATATCAAAAACCAAAAACCGCAGCCTAAGTCTTTCTGTTCCACAGATTTATGGGCCTAAATATTGACTTAGTAAGATAATCAACATTAATTTGAATGATTTCCTGTCTTTCTGATCAAGAAGAATAAGGTTATTAAGTACACGCATCTGTGCACTAATATCTTCTTCTGCGTGAAGAGCTTGCAGTATTTTAACTTCTATTTCTGAACGGTCCAAACTATGGTAGTCTCCACCTTTAAAAAAACGTTAAAGGGACTGTAAGCGTAATTTAAAGTGACCTTCCATGCCAAGATGACGATGCCCGATTTATAACAATACTCTTGAAAACATTATCTAATGAATAATGTGGGACATATTGTCATTTTTCTAGGTTTAAGAGTTTAATTTTGAAAACGTCTTTATTTTCTTGAAGCAGAAATGCGAAAGTCTTTTTTGTAAAGAAACAAAAATTGAAAATAATTAGTTTTTAAAATTTCGAACATTTATGTTAAATTCATAAATAATCTTACAATTTTTTAAGGGTGCCATTGTTAATCGGACAATTACAATCTTTTCATGGAGGGTCACTTAAAATTAGTATTACAGTGCCTTTAAGACACAGGTAACTATTTGTAATTGACCTCAAGTATTGATTCATTTTAAGGAACATTTATTTGAAATACGCCAACAGAAATTAATACACTTATCGATATAAAAAACCTCTTTATCTCGGACTAAAAATTAGATTTTTTCTTCAAAGAATTTGAGATATCTAATATTTTTTGTTACAAATTTAATTTCTAAATGTTTCTTACCGGTCCAGTTTGATGTTGATTGTTGATTTAAAAATTCCGTTGTTTTTCCTCGTTCGTTTCCTGATAGCTTCCCTGGTTTCTTTTCAATTTCTCCCTTTAAACTCCTAGTTCTTACACAATCTTGATGTTCATATTTCAAAGTTTTGTCCGGACATTCTACTTTAGTATGAACATGAACAGGAGACTGTTCGTTTTTGTTCACGAGATTATAATTACTTTGGTTTAAAATATCACATTCTGGAATTAGATTAACAAAATTCATTTTGGACCCTGCACTTGCAGTCTGTTCTAGAACTGGTGATCCGGTCACATTATTCGCGGATTTCACAATCAACTCATCTTTACGGAACCGAACATGATCCTTGTCAAGATTTGATACAAAATTTTTGGGGATTTCTTCGTCACTATTTTGAGAATTTATAACATTAAACGGGCACATGGTGTCAGCTTTTACAGTATTGTTTACAGGATTTGTAGAAATGAAACTTGTAGGTATTGTTACTGTATTTGATGACGCGAAGGAAACTGATGAGCTTCCTGATTCAATAATATGAACCCAGTCGATTTCAAGACCTTCAAACGCGAATTCTCTATGTAACGGGATTTCGTCTACAAACATTTCAGGACTACTCTCAGACGAGATTTTATCGACGAATTCAGGACTACTATCATCTCGGGAGGAAATGTGTTCTATGGAGACTGGACTGCTTTCACTGACGTACAATTCAGTTTGGATGATTCGTCCGACTAAATTTGCATGATTTTAATTTCTATATAAGTTTGAATGGGCCATTATTTGATATGTAAAAAGTTTAATTTCTGTATAAGTTTGGATGGGCCATTATTTGATATGTAAAAAGTTTAATTTCTATATAAGTTTGGATGGGCCATTATTTGATATGTAAAAAGTTTAATTTCTATATAAGTTTGNCATCACTAGAATCCGAAGCTCCATATCCTGTGTTATTCTCATCCATCTGTTGTTACTGGTTGCTTTCATTCTTCATCCCAACCCCATCCATGATCCAAAACCTTTTTTATCCAAATATTTATATTTAAAGACCATTAACTCATTGATTAAAAAAGTGGAAAGAGAGTGGAGGTAAATAATTGTTGGCGGATAAGACATAAGACATGGGAATTACAGTTGCAAACTTTTCATTTCTCGTTATGTCTTTTACATACTAGCTCTGAACCCAGCTTTGCCTGTAAACTTTAAGAGATTTCTCTGTAAAAGGGATTCATGCGTTAAGATCGGACATACAAAGAAACAGAGAGATTACTACTTTATATACAATATACATAGATATCCCAGGGGCATTGATCATGTTAAAAATAAATTCCTAGGGTTAGCTCGTCGACTTCTTCATTTTTCTCTGAAAATGCTTTAATTAGAAAAATATTTCTGTAAAAAAGGCTGTTTCAGCTTATACCGGACTTTAATCTAAAATAATCTAATAGAAAGCAATGGAACTTCTTCCTTCCTTTTGAACTTAGATTCTTCACATCATCTCATATTGCTTTAACTTCTTCCACTGTTTTCACGACTAAATACTTATAAATTTTTTTAACCAAGAGATAAATTGTCAATTGCAAAGGTTAAGTCGTAATTGTTTAACTTAGACAATGTCAATATAAAAGCCGCGTCGATAGATAGATAGAAAGGTAGTTGGACGAATAGGTTGTTTTGGGTTATAAACCTTACTAATTTCAGGGATGATTATTAACCAGAAAAAAGTAAACTTAACATGTTATTTGTAAACGTAAAAAGCTTTGTAAGCTTTGTAATAATTTATGAATATATTAACCCCTGAATTTTGCCCAAAACATCGAGGGATTAAGGGCCCATAAAACCCTCCGACTAGTATAATGTCGTCTTTTGTTGGAGACTTCAACTTCAATTACTTAATTATAATAACAACACTTTATTTTTTGTAGAAATATTGGGAGATAGTGCTTTACCCTAGAGTAGAAAGAAATACAAATTAATCAATTAACAATTTCTGGAAAACACAATCCTAATCAAGAAACGTTAATTAGATTATTTCTAAAAATCTTACTAGTCGCGCGATAATAAAGCCCCTATTAGCTTCCCCAAATTATCTAACTTAACCGTATAGTTAAACATCTCTATCAGTATTTTAACATTGTGAATAGCATAAAAATCATCGTTTGATGCACATGAATATATCTATATATTTCTAGATTGGGAACCCGACTTTTCCTGAAGTCAACCAACTGTTTTTACGAGGGAGGGAACCCCCGGACGCCACGAGCCTCCGCTATGCAGACATGAATTCTTAATTGAACTCGAGTTATTTTGTTTTAATCTTTTTAATCTTTTGATTTAGGTAATTCCTTTTATCAGAAATTTTTCTATATTCAGATTACTTGTGAATGTCAAATATTTGATTATCTTAATCTGATAAAAATTTCAACAAAAAGGAATCGCTTTAATCAAAGATTATAAAATATCAAGCAAAATTACTTCCAGAATTTTTTATCTAAATGTTTTCCTTTTTCGTAAAAATGTTTAAATTTGATAAACCACTTTACTAGTCATAATTAGTCACTACTGATCTTTGATAAACTTGTTACGTTGTTATGCCACTATTTCTAAAAAAAATCTTTACTATTTGAAAACCCAAGAGTTTCAAGGAAACTATTCTGTATAGCGGAAGCTCTTAATGCTTGGCGGAGGCTTGGTGTGCCTAGCAAATCTGGGTGGCTCATGTCTGCATAGCGGAGGCTGATGGCGTCAGGGTTCTCTGGTTAAAATTTGAGGAAAATCGGTACAGATATTCATGAAAAATGTTCGTTCAAACAAACAGACTGACAGACAAAAAGCAAACAGTTTTGTAATATATTTTACCATTCTTAAATTATTTTCTGAAAATTTACAGAGCCACAGAGGTTTGCCTTTTTTTCGTGACGCCAACTTTTGGGTCAATACAATTAATGGCTTTGTGGGGGAAATAATTTAGAGAAAAAAAAACTATTTATAGAACGTTTTCAATTTAATAACCCATTTTAAGTTTACATCCTTAAGCTTTAATGAACATACCCCTTTTAAATTATATTTCTTGATTAAATCATCAGTTTTTTTTTACCTAGTGGTTCTTGACTGGAGGTATTTATTTGTAAATCAAATAATAATATTATATACATAAAAACAATGACAAGCATTGTGATGTTCTAAAACTGTATCAATGATAGTTATTTAAGTTATGCGAGACATCTTAGAACTTTGGAGCCAGAAAAACTCCATCAAAAAGATTTACTTTGTATCAAAATCATACAACATCAGACTAATGTATTTCTATTTTTAAGATGTTCAAGTTATTGATAAATGATGGGTTTATATGATGTTGAGTACTTTGGTTACAAAGGAAGACAACGAAGAAAATTGCTGGCATTTAAAAGCTTTGAAAATCTAGCTTCACTTTTCTAAATATCCTTGCACTTGCTCTACAGTACTAAACTATGTTTGAAAACAAACAAATGTGTATGTCTACGGACTAGATTTAGCCATCTGTTTCTTCATTTGAACAGAAACTCCAATCAACATTGCCATTACAGTAATAGCCTAAAAAATAATCATAAAAAGCCAAAAAAATATTAAAAAGATGATGAAAAGTAATTTTCAATGTATTTTTTTAACGAAGGGAGGGGAAGCAACAATGTCGTGAGCCCTGCAATATATTGTTCGAACCCAGGTAGTTCGCAGAACTTGGCCCAAGCCAGATTGTTAAAAAGAAATACTTCTATTAATAATTTACTATTTTCCTGAAAGTTCCTTTACTGAAAAAGACTCTTGGCTTTGTGGCCCCCCTTTCTCGTGTTGATCAATTCAGTGTGTGACTGATTTATGGATGTTTTATTATTGATATTTTTGAAATATTTTGTAAGGTGTTTCTAAATGGATTAGTGTTTTCATTAACAAATTAAATGAATAATGAACAGTATTTTTTTAGTGATATAAATGATTATCTATGATTTAAATACAGTTTTGATGTATCGGAACTAAGAAATATTAATTCATGATTTAATAATGAAAATTGAAGATTAAGTTTTCAAGACTCCCAACGGTAGGTAATTCACTGGAACTTAAATGGACGGGAACTAAAGCCTGATTTCTAATGATTAATGGATTGTCAGCAATTATTAGTATTATTATTATAAACCAAAGTTCAAAATTCAAGACACAAATTTAATAATAAAAAATAATACAATATTATCATTATCAAAGAATTAAAATGTAAAGATAGTTATTTCAGAAGTGTATGCATTTTTAGTACTGCAGTGTACTGTCTCTGGGCGGTAAAGTAAACACAAGATGGATGTCAGAGCCTGACATGGGAACCATCTTACACATAAAAATTAACGAAATATTCTGGTCATATTAAACATTTCTGTAAATATTCAAAATAGAAAAAATTAAATGCTTTTATCCTCCTCGGATGCTACAGTATTACTGATGCATTTATTCTTGTTTACAAACCCGCCCAGAGAGAACTGTTTTCAGTATGTACGCAGAGAATACGCAACAACAATTAAATATCCTTGCCTTATTACCTTAATCATGTTTATCAATATCATTAATGAATATTAGCATAATTATTAACAATCAGCCTACAGTCAAAGTATCCTGTGCTGCAGGCTATGTCTGCTTGGGTTTTAGTGACTTTGAATATAATCAATTAATCATAAACCTAACCTGAGCTGCAATTCTTCCTCTCATCATAGTCTGTGATCCAGCACTATCCTTTCTAAAATATTAAATACAGATATACAGTGGTCTTGCATGCATATATTCCAATACAGTGTCCGTTTCTGAAATATTGACATAATAATATTTCAGTACCTGACAATTAGTTTGTAAATACACCACCCAGTCTTAATTATTGCCATTTCAGCAAACAATTTTTAAAATTTATTAAAAATTAGAACGAGTTTTTGAGTTCTTCATTTTTCTTGCAACATTTATCCATATTTTCAACACCGTATTAACATATATCAACATGTATCAAGAAGTATCAACCAGGCCAGTAACCAGGCGGGGGGGGGGGGGTTGTTAGGGGACAGGTGCACCCCCCTTTCTCCTAAAAGGGGGGTGCAATGATGTATTCGTCCCCTCCCTTCTTTAGATATGTTCTTTGGTATAATCTTAACTTGTAAAATTGAGATGTTAACATTCAAAGTTTTCTAAATTTGGTATCATTCTTAATACTGTATTGTGAGGGAGGGAAGGCACATATTCGTTCGAACACAAATCACGTCACAAGTCAACATTATTTGTTCCGACCAAACTTTTTTTGTTCGGCATTGTTTAAAATCTTTTAAAATTATTATATTAGAATTTTGAGCTACGTCATGTTCTTTTATAAGGATTTAAACTATTTTATCCTGTTTTTTTGTTCAAAGAAGAACATCTTTTGAAGGTAACCGTAGACTCATAACAATTCAAAAAATACACAAACCCTCAGTACACACATTTTAATTTCTTGGCTAAATTGGGCTCAAATATATTTAAATTTTTTTAACAAAATGCATTTAAGATGCATATTGAATAACGTTGCTTAAATTTGAAAAAAAATTGTAAAGGCATAAAATGATACGTTTGAAAACAGAGGCATCGCTCAGACGAAAAAGGAGTGATAGGGAAAAATAATGGCGAGTTATGACGTCATTTGTGGTGCGGACGAAAAAATGGTGTGGTGTGCCATCCCCCACTCGTATTGTGTTTGTGATATGTCTTAACAATTCTTTACTATAGCTGTTCCCTCGGATCAACCTAATTAACCCTTCTTTGAAAAATATTTGTCCTGAGCTGAAAACTTTAGAATGTGATATCCTTAATCCCGATCTGTTAATTAATCTGAAGATTAAATTCATGAGGAGAACAAGCAATATTTAATCTGGAGATTAAGAAAACGAGTAGATCAAGCATTAATCCCAATGTCCACCATTCTAGTTCCCAGCTCTGATGTAAGATTTTCTGATCGAACTGGTCTGTTGTTCTCTCGAATATGAAGAACATACATAAAATGTGGTAAATATATTCCCGTGCATATTATTAAATTCATTTCGCATAAACTTATTGTCTTCAGTTTTAATATTTTGTCCAGACAATTTAAAATCATTGAACGTGAGCAGTAAGTAGTGATATCAAAAACTTTAACATTTTCTGTTATCCAATATTACAAATTTGAACTAAAAGCTAAATTATGAAAATTTTCCTTGTGCCATACAAAACATCAAATTCAGGGATACTGAATTTTCACTGTAACATTAAGTACATGCCTAAATTACTAGTGCTGTTGACAAATTAGAAAGTTTCCTACATTGAATAAAATTCAAGCTAAAATTATTCGATTTTTACCAAAATTCTGAAAATTTTCTATTCAGCCTCCCTGCATTATGTTTCACTCAGTGCTCCTGGGTTCATGATACAACACCTTTCTTTGCATCCCCTTGGGAGTATCCTGGTTACGGACCTGATCAACATGTATCAATACATGTATCACATTTTAAACAGTTTCCAACATTTATCATTTTTAAAAAATCGACATTTTCTAATGTTTTAGAGGGCACACTTATTCGGGCGCATTTGTGATACAATATTCACTCTATTAATAAATTGAAAAAATAAAAAAAATATAAATGTAAAAAAAAATATTAAGAACACATTATTCAATAAAACATAAAATACTCCCGGTGTACTGAATACAATTTATTCATTATAATCGATGTACATACTTTGCTTGTCTGTCTATGCGTTCGTTTATTTTCGAAACATCAAAATTGGAGAGAAAAATTTCTGGAAAATAGGATTTTTTTTTGAAAATGCGCCAATTCGAAAAGAAAATTTGAAAATGATTTAAAATGGCCGACTTTCAGAGCAACAGTTAAAAGTTAAAAAGGTCTTAGAAAAATCACGATTGAGAACATACTTCTCCTGAATTGAAAAATTGGAACAAACCTGGCAAATTTTCCTAAACCCAACATAAGGCATCCAGCTGTTAATCCTGCTCCTAAAGAACAAGACTTAAAGGAACTGTATTTTCAAGTTACCATCCATGCAAAGATGGAAATGCCCGATTCACAATGGTGAGTTGTATGATCCAAGTATGAATTAAATATCGATGTTTATAGTTAGAAAACTAATTATTTTAAATTGTGGTTTCTCTACAAAAGTGATTTTTTTTGCAGAAATAAAAGAATCATTCAATCTTGATACAGCTTTTTATGAATTCAGTTTTTTACCAATAGGAACCAGAGGATTTTCTTGAAATTTTCTATAAAACTTCTCTTTAGAAGTTTCTCCTTTTTGAACAGTTCCGGAGTCCCCTATCCCTGCTAGCTCTTGATTTAACTAAAAAAAATGATTTTGCCGAACCATTCACAGCCTTAGATCAGTGTTCAATTAAATTTAATTGCTTAGAAGCTGAACATAGAAATCCACGTCAGAATGTTCTCAGTTAATTCTAGATAAACATTCATTGCGACGTCTATTTTTTCATTTTTCCCCCAGAGCAGCAAAATAATTTCCCTTATTTTCCGGGCAAACAATCACCAAGGGGCGGATACAGGAATTTTCTAGGGATGAGCCAGCAATATCTTTTCTCTCAATTTTCCCCAAAAAGCTTTAGGGGAGCAATTTCCATCGCTCACCCTGTATCCGTCAATACAATCACAGACACTTTCCTAGGTGGGGCTCAGCCCCCAAAGCACCCCTGTATGCGCCCCTGGCGTTTACGGAAGGTAATTTGTGTCCTACCTTAATCCATTCAAATTCAGCAGCTTGAATATCTTCTTTAACAACTTTAATTCCTTTCTTCTCCAACTTTTCCTCCTAAAAGATAAAATAAGGGGTTATCTTTGTTTAGGAAGAAACAATTTTTAAAAATTTCGAGTTTTGAAGAAAATTATAAAATTTTTGTATTACAAATTTTAATTTTGTCTATGTTGCCCCGCAGGGTACCCATATACTTGTGTTTCCAGCGCCCTAAGAACAATTTTAGCTTTTTACTATTCCCTAGAGACATACGAGTAGCCACAAAAAATTAGACCCGATCGGTTCAGCCGCTTTAAGTTCTAAAACTCCTGAAAAAATTAACCTGAATTTTTTGTACTTGTGCTTTGATATCTTCTATCCCCATTATAACTCTGAAATAATTTTCTGTGCTCGAGAAATTGAAAAAAAATTGTTTGGATATAAATTTGAAGTTTTTAAACAGTTTTCACATTGGTTTTAAGACAGAATTAAATGTACATTGTACATGCGTTCAATCCACTTTGAAATGTACTGCATAACTGCCAGAGCCTGTTTAATGTACATGTTCAATGTTTATTGTTCATGTTCAATGTACAATAGACAAACTGTTCACTAGTTTTACACTGAAATCACAGTACAATATGATTATTTCTTATTTTAGCAGTAAATACATTGTATTCCATCATAGCTGAGACTGTTCACTGTAAGTGCACAGCGTAAATTCTTTTGTACCTTCAAACATATGTCTTATTATAAAATATGTTTTATATCAAAAATGTCCCAGTACAGTCTGCACATATGCAATCTCCTAAAAAGATTTATCTTTCTAATTTTATGTCTTTTAGTCTAATTTTATTAAAAATAAAAGTTTTAAAAGAAGATAAAATATTCACCAGTTCGCAGGAAAGCCATTACTTCTGCCAAAATCCACCTAAATTATTAAAAAATAAAAAAATTTAACTTAAAGGGAGGAGACTGATGACATATTTTCAGGCGACTCCATAATAAAAGAACTGCATGCCCAATTCACAATTCACAATGGTAACCCTGACACTTACATATATACAGTATTTTTTTTATTTGGAAAAGTGTTGAATTTTAATATTTCTTTTTTTCTTTTCTTGCATAAATCCACATATCACTTTTTAAAAAACCGCAATTAACACCCATTCATTTTTACACAGAAAAAAAGGAGAAAACTTCATCAGTAATCCCCAGACAACGGACAACGGAGTCTGCAGTCTTTTTAAGACTAAAATATAGTAGAAACTAACTTGTAAAAAAGTAAGACCAACTTTTTAAAAAGTTTATCCCACAGATTTATAAAAGGGCATTTTTCTTCTTCATTAATCAGGAATGTAAAAATAGTATCCTTGCTGCATGTTTAGCGCGGAACTCAGTGTAAAGAATGTTGAAGAAATGGTTAAAATTCACAATAAATCTTTAAATTGTCAAGTTTTCTTGTCGTTGACTAAATACCCGGATTCAATTAAACTGAACCTAACATTATGAACATGAATGATTGAGTAGTTTTCTAAAAAATACTTGAATGATCGAACATAAAGTCAGATACAACGCAGACAAAAATTGGAAAATAATGATAGAATAATTCTTTAGAATTTCAATTTTCAGAATATGATCAACAAAATCAAAATAATTCTAGTCTTAGTTTACCTTTGGATCCAGTTCTCACAGTTTTCTTTCCTTTCTTTTCTCTTCTGTCCATTCTTTCTGCCTCCATTCTTAAATCAAAGTTAATTAATACAAATGTAAAACCCCTCATTGATATCAAACCCAAGTTTTATATATTTTTCCAAATCATTCCATCAAAAATACTTCCTTTTCCAATAAATCCTTTCTGTTAAGTGGATTTGGTGAATCCAGGGACCGGAAGGAGTATCCGAGAGAAACCAAACCAAACATTTTTAGAGATGGATCCAAGAAAGTTCACGTAGTGCATCAGAGTGAAATAACAGTCGAACGCTAGTATAAGCACCGGCTACTCGTGGATCCTTTTTTACGTCGGTCTCAAATCATTTAGTTTTTTAGCGGTTGTGCTTCTTTTTTGGTATATTTATACGAATTACGATGTCCAAAAAATGTTGCAAGTTACGTAAAGAAAGTTGCTCAAAGTCCGGCTCATTTCAGACTCATATGAAGAGATAGTTGTTGGTTTAGACTGAGCCTACCGGATTTGTTCTGAGGACGGAGGAGAACTATGGTAAGAAGATGGTTAAAGGGTACGGGGTTATTCATGATCAGTGTTGAAGTGCCTGATATGTTGGACAAAGATGGTATGTTTTATATATATTGACGGAAATAATATGTAAGCTTTTTTAGTAGATGTAGTCTTAAGACATATATGTGAATTTGATGAGATCTATATTTTTAAGTTTTGAACCTGAGAATCGTGATGTATTGCAGCACAATGGATGGATAGATCTTTGAGCGCGATCCAGCCAAGGTTACGAGACTTGTATCACCGGGAACAAAGGAGGTAGAGCTGTTTTATTGTTGGGATTATTGATATTATTTTCTGATTCGTCGAGATATGACGAAACA